TTTTGGATTCTGTCTGCTTTGGACCCCGTGTGATAAGGTCCATAGTATTCCCCATGACCATGTATGGATTTGAGAGTAGGAGAGTGAAAAAAGCAGACCAGGAAAAAAAATCAGCTCATTTGAGATGTGGTGCTGAAGAAGAATGCTGAGGATACAGTGGACAGCCAAAACACACACACAAGAGACAAATAAATGGGTGTGACAGTGACACACAGTCACCTTACTGCTTTTCTCAGATGGCAGCCCAATGGGGTTTTTATCCCTCAGCTGCCACCTAGTTGTGGAGATGACCTACTTTTTCCCAAATTACTCAAGAAAGCACTCCAAACAAACTTTTATTGAAACAACATTATAAGTTTATTTACAGGCTAACTTTAATACAGTATCTCTAGTGTGAGATGGTTTTCATAGTTGATATGTTATTGTCATACTTTATTGGTTACACTGTGTTACATTTGTGGTTTCTTGTACTTGTGCTTGTGCTGGGTTGAAGATGACAAGAACATTGACGTACATACTGGTGTCCGTACAGTGGATTATTTCCTACTAAGAGTGCATCCAGACTAATTGAAAAGTCTCAGATTTTGCTCCTCTTCTTTCTGATTTAATAAACTGACCTGACAGAAGATATTCTGGGATAAAGAAAACATGTAAGGATCTCAAAAAATAAAATTGGAAAGAAGGCAAAGTCAGTCTGAAACTTTCTGGTCTTTTTAATCAATCTAGATGTACCCTTGGCAAACATGTTTTTCACTTATTATGTCTTTTCTTTTTTGCCTCATTGCCATTAATTTTGCACATGCAGATTCAAAGTAGAAATACCAGAAAATAAATGGGGAGGAGATTTCAAAAAGAGCAAAATGCATTTTAGGGATGAATTTTGTCCTTTACATTATATTTCCAAAAGAGATTTTTAAAAGCTTGGGGAGTAGTAAGTTGAGGGTTGCTCATCCTTCCTCCTCCATTTCTTATGTGGCCTCTGCGTGATCAGAGATTGTACTCCTATAATGATAAGGTGGGAAAATCACTCCTTTTGTTCCCACTCCTAGTAAATAATCTGTTTGCACATCAAATTGTTTTCTTATGGGCCCTTGGAGGTAATGGTAATTGATTCTGAGTAGAAATATAGGAGTAGAGCTTATCTTTATGACAAAAAGTAATAATGGTAATATTCAGGTGCTCTTCTCTATCCAGATTCTTTAGGGGAATGTTTACAGAGCCCTTTGAAGTTTCTAAGAGACATTGCTGAGAAAAAAACATGAACACAAGGCTGTCTGCGATTTTGAGACATGAGCTGACATCAGAATGATCATGACAAATAGGTGGCTGTGACAGCAAGCCATATGTCTAGAGAAAATAATCATTAACTCTCCCTTAGGTAATCAGGATCCAGAGGAAATAATAATCTTGTTGTGTGTCTTCAAGTTGTTTCTGACTTATGGCAACTCTGAGGTGAACCTATCACGTAATTTTCTTGGCGATACTTGTTCAGAGGGAGTTTTGCCTTCCCCTGAGGCTTAGAGCATGTGACTTGCCAAGGTCACCCAGTGAGTTTCCATGACCAGGCAGGGATTTGAACCCTAGTCTCCAGAGTCATAGTCCAATGCTCAAACCACTACACCAGGTATGAACATTAAAAGAGGAGGAAAAGTCCTGTAGGATGAAATGATTAAAAAATGAACAGAATCATAGAATCATAGAATCATAGAATCATAGAGTTGGAAGAG